AACAACAAGAGAGAGAGAGAGAGAGAGAGAGAGAGAGAGAGAGAGAGAGAGAGAGAGAGAGAGAGAGAGGACTGCATCAACAACAACGCACAGGTGAGCATACAAACTATGCCGACCCCGCCTAAACCCACCCCCCAATCAACAAAATCCCCACCCATCGTCATTTAAACACTAATGCCTTCAGTTTATTGCAGGCGAAGCGGCAACTGGTAACCTTGTAGCATTTTATTTGTATTTAGACCAATTTGAAGTTTCAGATCCATTTCGAATGTTGTGTAGTGGAGCGAGGTCCTCTTTATGTTGCTTTTTTTGTATTATAATATTATACGATCTTGCGTTTGCTTCTCTGTGGTATTCTGTCGGCGTTTTCCATGCTGTACCAGATCATGAGAGTTATTCCGACATTGTTTTGCTCACATGTGTTTGCCCTGCATTGTGCGGTTGTGTGCTCAGTTTGTCAGTCGTGCTGTACTGCTCTTGTTCTTCATCTTCATTGTCATCTTCATCTTCATCTTCATCTTCATCTTCATCTTCATCTGCTTTGTTGTTAGTCGTGTTAATTTGGGATGTGTGGATTTTTTCTTCTTCTTCTCTGGTTGCAGTTTGCCTGAGGATGCAGGTTAACAAGGAGAACAAAGAGTACAAGGTAATCTAATCTGTGTCCGCTGCTGGAGTTGAGAACTCTTGTCCTGTCCTGCTTGATAAAGCCTGCCTTTATTATGCAGGGGAGAACGAGAGAAAACCTCCGGCCACACACTTGTGCTTTACAGTCTGTCGATTGTGCAGAGTTGACAGTGATTTGATGTTATTTTTCATAATTTTTGTCTTTCTTTTTTTGTCGCTCTTTTTTTTGTGATTAATTTTTGTCTTTCTTTTTTTCTTTCCCTCAAGTTTCATCTGGAGTGTTCTTTTTTGTTTTTTGTCCAGTTTCTTTTTTCTTAATAAAAAAAACTGAAGGGATTAGCCGCTCACCTGTGCCCTTGTCCCCACCTGCTGCACCTTTGAGTTGAGCCAACTCAACGGTGTGACAGGCACTGACAGCATTAGATAAGCCTTTTTAAAATCGAAAGTAATCGCTACTGCTTTTTTTTAAAGCCTCTTATTGCTTTTAGTCGGCATTCAGAGATAAGTTTGTGTAACAGGTGCGTCGTCCGCATCGTCGTCTTCTCGTCGAAAACGGAAGATTGAAACGGTCTGACAATGACAATAATGACGACCCTGGATAAAGAAAACGATTGAAATCACAAAAAATGAATATGTCCTTCGTGGCATCCGTTAAAATTGGAACGATACAGAGAATGAAGATTAGCATGGCCCCTGCACAAGGATGACACACAGAAATTGAGAAATGGTCCAAACTTTTATGGCCAAAAAAACAAGAAATGAATATGGCACCGTTGAGCTAGCTGAGACGTTTTTTGGTCTCAGCTAGCTCAACGCAAACTGAGAAGGGTAGGGGGCGTTATAATTGAGAGATTCGTATTTTGTGGCCTTTTCTGTTCACTCTGGGTTGTCTGTTTGACGATATATAAACAAAATATATTCTGATTTTGATTTTGATTTTTATTTAGAATTTGGTAAGGAATTTCGACTTGACTCTGAGGCAAAAGTTGTTCAGTTTCTTTTCCAGTTTTTTTTTTTTTTTTTTTGCAGGGACCTTCCTTGGCCCTCGCCCAGCCAGGCCGCCCGTGCACCCAACGTGACCCAGCCAGCCCACTTCACGGCGTCACTCCGGGTTGAAAACCCAGTGAGGACCTGGCTCAACGGAGCAGGTGGGACAAGGTCCCTGGGCTATGAAGTGGGCTGGCCGGGTCACGTTGGGTGCACGGGGGGCCTGGCTGGGCGAGGGCCAAGGAAGGTCCCTGCAAAAAAAAAAAAAACTGGAAAAAAAGGTCCCTGGAAAAAAAGTTGGTCCCTGCAAAAAAAAAAAAAACCCTGGAAAAAAGGATGTTAAAATAAACTTCAAACTTTTGCCTCAGAGTCGAGTCGAAATTCCTTACCAAATTAGAAATAAAAATCAAAATCAAAATATATTTTGTTTATATATCGTCAAACAGATTATATCATACCTGTGGTGCATATGCACCGTGTGGTGTGGTGTGCGGTGCCCTGCGCTGATCGCTGATGAGTGGGAAAAAAAAGGGAAAGAAAGAGAGAAAAAAGAAAAAGAAGAAGAAAAGAAAAGCGGCTGTGAATGTGCGTAGACAAGAGAGAGAGAGAGAGAGAGAGAGAGAGAGAGAGAGAGAGAGAGAGAGAGAGAGAGAGAGAGAGAGAGAGATGCAAGGAAAATGAGCTGTAGCGAAATGACAGAAATACACAGTGCAAAATCACATTGAAAGCCAGCAAGTCCAATGCTGTCCAGAAAGCGAAAATGCACTGATATTCCACCAGCAGAGAACCAAAGCACTCAATCCGAATGTCGATGATAGCATACTCTCGCCACCACCAACATATGTATCCAGAGTCCTTCCTGCTACTTGGCGCTCAGCGCCCAGACTACTATCACTCAGCCAACTAGCAGCCTACGAATATACAATGCATCCAGTTGACGTCAGCAGCAGAACGGAAGTACATGAAGATGTCGGCCCTTGTAGACCATTGCCAAGACGTGGTACATGCCCTCACATCATCCTCCTACTCTCTCTTCCTTGCCTTCTCTACCCATGTCTTCCCTCTCATGCACGAAGACCACCACCACCCGCTAACTAAGTCCAAGCCCCAGCCTGGCTACGTAGGCTGGGCTATGGCGCTGCCCTCAGCAGCCCCCTGTACCTTACCGCCCGCACGGGCTCTTCCACACTGGCGCTAGCAGCAGCACATGAGCGACCGCTCCAGCAGCGCTTCCACCTGCACTACCAAGTGCCCCAATGCCTCACCTGCATGCGTGTGCATATGTGCACGTGTGCAAACAGAACTGCCGACGGTAAACCGTAGGCAGAGAGGGAGAGAGAACAACAAACGAGGGGCTGTGACAAACTGTTTCGTTGGAGTTTCACCGACTCATCAGGAGGCTGAACCCTATATATAGCTAGGCTACCAGCCGGGCCGCCCAGGTCCCCCGTGGCCAGCCCGTGCAAGGACCAGGGAAGGTCCCAACAAAAAATCCGGCCGACCAGGAAAAAAAAATCGAAAAAAAAAACTATGTTATGCAGAAAAAGACGATGAACAGCTTTTGCCTTAGGGTCACATCGAAATTCTTCACCAAATTTAGAATAAAAAATAAAAAATAAAAATATTGTATATTATATATATTCAGCCTCCTGATGAGTCGGTGAAACTCCGACGAAACAGTTTGTCACAGCCCCTCGTTTGTTGTCCTCTTCTCCCTCTCTGCCTACGGTTTACTGGGCAGTTCTATTTGACGATATATAGATATATATATTAGCCCGGCCGGGCAAGTGACCCCCGCCTGGCTGGGCAAGTGGGCTCGGGCCACTCTGGTAGCCTAGCTGCTCAGCTTATTGTGTCTGGCAGGATTCTAACTGCGGATCTATTCTTGATTAACAGTCATATATCATATATCGTGTATGTGTTGTGAGCCGTTCAGCCACCAGGACTACATATGTATGCTTGGTGTTAATTTTTTGTTAATAAAAAATTGGAGTACCACTGCTAGTGGTATTTCGTATTTAGTTTTTTTTTTAAAATGTTGAATTGTGACTTTGTGGCTGTTTTTCTTTGTGACTGATTATGATAGGGTACCAGGTTCCCTCTCTGGTCGTAGATAAAGACCCGCTATACAGTGAATGGTCTGGATATAAAAAAAAAAGGAAAACTTCGAAAAAAAACTAGAAAAGAAATATTTGTAATCGTACTCTACGTAGCACCGTGTTCGCGTTCGGAGGCGAACGCGAAAAAAACTAGAAAAGAAATATTTGTAATCGTACTCTACGTAGCACCGTGTTCGCGTTCGGAGGCGAACACGAACATGTTCGCCCGAACGCGAACAAGCGCCCAAAACCCTCCGAACGCGAACATAAAAAATAATAAATAATAAAAAACGTTCTCAGAAAAATCTGAACAAAATATATGTTATGTAAAATAACAATACAAGCAACTTTTGGCTTGGAGTCATGTTCAAATTCGTAGCCAATCATGAGTTAAAAATCAAAAACCGAAAAACCTTTTTTTTTTTTTTTATGGAAAAAAAAATATGTTCGCCCGAACATGTTCGCAAGGTGTTCGCCCGAACGTAAAGGGGTGCGAACACGTTCGGCGTGCTACGCAGATCGTATTAATACTGGCCCCTGAAATTACTTACTCGAAATGCAGCCATAAAGATTACGGAAATGCACCCAAAGAAAAACGAAAGTATAAAAAATGTGGAAAAACAGGTACGGAAGAAAAAAACAAAAAACGAAAAAAATGTGAACAGAAAACGGCCGAGAGATCGTGTGTGTCAGAGGAGTTTGTGAACGTAGTGTCTGTGTCTTAGCGTTACTTTTCTTTTTTCCTTTTCTTTAATCGCCTTTCCTTTTTTTTGGACCATTTCTCGATTGATGCGAGGCATTCTTGAATGCGCTGGGGCCATTTTAATGTTCTCAGTATAGATCAAACTTCCAATTTTAACGGATGTCTGGGCATTACGCTGCCTTTTTCTATTGCAATTGAGAATTTTAATCTTTACTGTTTATCTTGGACACGTACTAAAATAGAATCCGAATGTTGTGTTCGCTTTTTGTTCTCTCTCTTGTGATGGGCAGGATCTTCCGCTGGAGCGCGCTTTTGCTGATTACATACTGGCAAACCTAGTCCTCCATCTGGTGGTAATGAACTTCATTGGGTAGAAACCGTCTGCGGATTTTGTAACACGTGACCAAAATATCAGGTAAGTCACAGTATCTCCTTTCTGATTACTATCTTTATCAACTTGCTGGGAAAATCTCTCTCTCTCTCTCTCTCTCTCTCTCTCTCTCTCTCTCTCTCTCTCTCTCTCTCTCTCTCCCCGCTTTGGTTGTTAAAGAAGGGACATAATGTTCGAACTCATGACATGTTTATCAGCAGCTGAAGTTGTGTACCATTCAGCCACAAGGCTAAACGGTAAATGTCTCCTCTCTCTCTCTCTCTCTCTCTCTCTCTCTCTCTCTCTCTCTCAATGGACAGCTACTTTCGTGCATCGTTGAGCCACAAGGGTGGGTAACGGGGAAGGTCTCCCTAGACAAGGGCCTACAACGTTTTGTTTCCACAGTTGTCTTCTCTGTGGGAGCTCGAGCTCTTGCTTCAGTTTCTGAAATATTGGTCTAATACGAGGACGACACGTAATCTAGACATGGTCTAAATGCCTTAAAAGAAGAAAGAAAAAAAAAAAATCTCTAGAGATGTTCTACAATCTAGCCGATGAGAGGGCATGATTAATGGTTTGATACCTCTTGCAATCCATAACCTAGATCGAGCTAACAGGCAAAGGCTATTTTGTGGGAGGACCAGAGATTCTGGTTGTGAGGATGGGGATCAATCAGGCAGGGAATTGTTGCGCAGGGTGTGTGTGTGTGTGTGTGTGTGTGTGTGTGTGTGTGTGTGTGTGAGAGAGAGAGAGAGAGAGAGAGAGAGAGAGAGAGAGAGAGAGAGAGNAGAGAGAGAGAGAGAGAGAGAGAGAGAGAGAGAGAGAGAGAGAGAGAGAGAGAGAGATGCATCCAGGAAGAACTGCAATTGCAGTCGGTTACATGCAGGAACAAGCTGCCATTGCGGTCAGATCCATCTAGGAAGAGCCGCAATTGCAGTCAGATGCATCCAGCAAAGTCCTCATGCGAGTATGCTCTTATGCATTTCAGCCTGTAGTCTTTCCTCCTTTCTTGTCCTTCTCTGTCGCCGAGCAGTAGAAGCGGGCTTTTGATGGGAAAGTTGGGAATCTTTGCTGGGTATTAGTGCAGGTGAGTGTGGCTGGACCTCTGCCTGGATGGCTTCAGACCTCCTGGACTTGGACTGAGCCCACCCCCCCCCCCCCCCCCCCCCCCCCCCAACCCCTGCCCCACCCCCACCTGCACCCCCACCAAAAAAAAAAGAAAAAAAAGATATCGTCTTTATTCTTTTCCTCTTATTTGGCCACAATTTTCGAGATGATCCTCAGCCTAAAGATTTTTCTATTGCAATGCTGCATTTTTCTTTTGCAGTTTTTTTTTTTTTTTTTAAGTCCGAGGAGCGGCAGACCCAGATGCGCTGGACCAGACAGCGGAGAGGGACATCTGGACCACATGCTGTCCGCGTTGAGATCTGGATGTCAGGATGGCAGCCATGATTTTGTTGCAATGTATGGAGATATTGTCGTTAGTAGACAATGACTTTTTTCTTTCTTAAAATTTCCCCGTGCTTGGTCCCAGCAGCTGCAGCATGTTAAGAAGGCGAAAAGAGCACGAGGACTTAAACATGCTGCAGCTGCTGGTAAGGGGACTTTAGCAGCTGCGGCCTGTTTTGATATTCGATAGGTGCACCTAAGGGCTGCGTGTTTTTTTTTTTCTTTTTTTTTTTTTTCCTTTGACTGAAAGACTGCTCCTCTATTTTCAGGAGTACCTGATGACTACAAATTTTTTTCCCACCCTGACAGATTACATTGCCGATGCCAATTGATTGCGGATGTTTCCGGGGATGTCCGGCTGTCGACGGCGGAAGTGGGATGATTGGAACGATGGCGTAGTTTGGGGAAGAAAGCAGGTGGTAAGCGACCTGAGGACGACCACGTGGCGGAAGGTCGAAACCGGTCGCTGTAGCCATCGCCCACCGGGACATGACATGCAACGTACTTTTGTACCGATTTTGTGGCACAATGTGTTTTGCAAGTTGTTCGGCTTTCAATCTCGTGTGACTTCAGTGTCTGCTTTTCTACACTTCAGTGTCTGCTTTTCTACTCTTCAGTGTCTGCTTTTCTACACTTCAGTGTCTGCTTTTCTACACTTCAGTGTCTGCTTTTCTACTCACTGTGATCACCGAATCTCGCAAATATTTTGTCAGAACAACAGTGCTGAATCTTGTGCTTGTATCAAATTGGGTGCACCCCTCTGTCTGTCGTTTAAACAAGCTGCACAGCTGATGAATTTGTCGACACTTGGAACTGTCGGTCAGGGTGTTTACAAATGGTGGTGGTGAGTGGTTGGTGGCTGTGGGTGGGTGCAGATATACGCAGGTGAGAGTCTGTGGGGGGGGGAGGGGTGCGGCGAGTTTGGCACAGAGAGGTGAAGCAGGAGAGGCTCGTGGCGGCAAGGTCTCGGCGAGAGGATGGATGTTCGAAGAAGTTTGTGAGGAGGTTCATTAATTAACACTGTCGGGCAGGCGGGCGGGTGGGCGGGCGGGCAGTGAAACCAGGAACGCAAGGAGACGGGAGCAGTCTTTGACCCAGGTGGTCCCTTTTCTTCACCCTTGGATCAGTTTTTGCTCCTGGAATATGTCACTGTCACTGGACCATGGTTCACTGCGCACCGGGAAACCGGTTGCTGCTTTTGAGGTTGCGAAGGTCAAGGCTGGCTTTCGCACTAGGCAGGACCAGAGCAGCAGGAGCAGGAGCAGTTTTTGAACCTGGAATTCCCTTGCCTTTGGGGGATGGGATCAGTTTTCGTTCCGGGAACATTGTCCATTGAACCATGGTTCATAATCATGCTTGATGTGTGGTTAGCTCATGAGAGTGGTTCATGACCATGGTCCGTCCATGTGTGATTCGCTCATGAGAGTGGTTCACGAGTGTTTTTTATGAACTGTCAGAGAGAGTTGTTCATGACCACGGTTAATGAATAGTTAATGGATTGTTCAGGAGTGGTTCACCAGCGTATACGGCGAAAGAAAACCAGCAAACGAAAACCAGTTGGAGCGAAAGAAAACCAGTCGGGTACGAATGCCTCGTTTTCCAGCCCTCGGTGTAGAGGCGATGACTGCGAGACGTAATGAAAGGAGTTTTTCCGCGTCCTTTTTCTGATGGATTCCTCTTTGTTTTATGTTTAATTTCATTCGGTTTTGATTTTGAATTTTAAATCGTTTTTTTTTTTTTTTTTTTGTATTTTATCATTTGCCACTCGAAGTAGAGAAATGAAATTGCATCATCTCATTGAAAGCCAGAAAGGCATGTGCTCGGACGGATCGCAGAATGCACCGAGTTCACACCAAGTAAGAGCAAAGCAATGAACTCAAATGACAACGTTAACCCTTATCTCGCCTCCACCATCATCGTATCCAATATTGCTCTCCCGATGTGCCGCCTGGCACCCAGACTACGATCAGACAGCACCAAGACTCTAGCCTATCAACCTATGACGCCAACAGGTCTTTCTTTTGTTTTTTTGGGGGACCAACAGGGCTTTTCAAGAAGTACCCCCCACCCACCTGACCCCGGCTGCCCGGAGTGTAACACAGTGAATTGTATTTTTCTTGTTCTTAGTCTGTGAGCAAACTGTGCAGAGGTCAGAGCTGTTCGGGTCACTGTTCTTGGTTCCAATACGGCGGAGGCGTTGGGAACGTAGCCCTAAGGGCGTATGTCCCTTTGTTCTTTTTCTAGGAGGAGAGAGAGAGAGAGAGAGAGTTTCATTGCAGCCTTAGGGCTGCAAACACAGATGTGCAAACCCACAATACTGCAGCCTTAGGGCTGTGAATGCTGAGCTGTGCCCAATTAGGGTCTTGTTAGACACTCCTAAAAATGCCTGTTTTTAGGATTGCATCGTCGTTGCACGCGATCCTAAATCCGATTTCGAGATAAAAAATGTGAAAACAGCGTTAGGACGAATCCTAAAGAATTGAGGATTCTCCAGGCAAATTCGTCCTAAATTTTTCAGTAGCCCCCGACCTACTGAAATTCTTAGGAGTCCCGCGTTTGACGGAGTCGTGGCGACGTGCGCATGGCACCGTTGTCTTGGACTCCTGGTGCACCCTATTGGCTGAAACCCTGAAGCATGACTTTTTTTCTTTTATTTTTTTCTTTTTAATTACTACTTTCTTTTAGGACTGGTCCTAAACAATGGTCTTTTAGGAATGTGTGTAACCACGACGCACGAAATCCTAAAAAAACTTTAGGACTGTCCTAAAAATTTTAGGATTCTTTTAGGAGTGTCTAACGAGACCCTTGGGCAAAACAATGGGGACCTATGGGTAGTATGTCCGTTGTGAACATTGGGTGACGGCGTTGAGATATCATCATTGACCTCGGCAGCCCCAGGCAATCCAGAACGATTTCAGTCTGTTCATTTGATAGTATGTGCATTTGGACTGGAGTCTGTATTTTAACAGTTCATCGGTGTAACGACTGAGCTTGGCCCTTTGGTAACCTTTTTTTTTTTTTTTTTTTT